CATCCTTGACCTCTCAATTAAGGGCCGTGAGACTTGGCAGAGTGGAAAGCTGCCGTGCTGAAACCTCAGCACCTCGCCTTGATTTTTTGAGTTGCTCAGATTGTGTCGGGGATGTTCTCGTCGCTGTCAGAGACACTCTCGTCACCGCTGACCTCCGCGTTCTCCCGCTCCCTCTTCTCCATGAGGGCCTGGAGCTCGGCGTCGTCGCTCTCGGTAACGGCCTTAGGCTCCATCTTCACGATGAGATTGCCTCCGGCAGCCTCGATGTTTGTGCGGATATCGACAATAGCCTCTTCCAGACGGCTGATACCCAAGCTCTTGTCCAGGCAGGTGTTGGTCAAGACGTAGAGAGGGGGGGACACCAGCTTGACCTTGACCTGGGTCTCCTCGGTGTTCTTCTCCTCGGCCTTGCGGAGGGCAGTCTTGACGGCGTCGATACCCTCATAGCCGAAGCATGTGACTTCGATATCAGCACGAACCTTGGTGGGCTGGGGTGTGAGTCGCTTGCTGATGTAGAGCTTCAGCTCGTCAGAGACAGGCGTGCTGGGGAAAGTGATGTCGTTCCAGACTTCCACATTGCTAATCTCCCAGTTAGTACATGAGCCCCGCTTCAGCGCGCATATACGCAGGAGGTGAATACTAACGTGATGGAAAGTTTGAATGCATCGATCGCGTGGCCGAACTTGCGGTTTAGTGGCCACGCAATAGTCTCGTATAGGGTCTCGATGGGGGTGTTGGTCTTCTCGGCGACGTGTCGCATGATGGAGTGGACCATCTTGCTCTTGTTGTATCGCTCTTCGCACTTGACGATATCCTCGGGAGACACTCGTCTCTTTGAGAGATCAATATATCCTGCTCAAAATTAACATCCAAACTTTTAACTCGCCGCTGCCATGAACCACTGTGTTGTCGAGGGAAATAATCATACCCTTCTCCTTGTCTACTCTCAGCACCACCACAACCTCATTTCGTCCCACTCGGATGAGCTTCTGGATACTTCGGATACGTCTTCGGGACAGTTCGGAGAGAAGAATCATGCCGTCAATGTTGTCGTACTCGAGAAGCTTGACGTAGGCTCCCATCTCGGCGATCTGCCTCATGGTTAGATCAGCCCCTCAAGTGGCATGGCGACGATGTTCCGCAACCCACCTGCTTGACATTGACCATCACGAAGCTGTCAATCTCCGGATATTTCTCCTCGTAAAATCGGCAATTTGTTAACGACATTTTGGCGGTGTTTCCGGTCGCGCGACACTACAATGTTCGTTTGGGTGGATTGGGTATCGATTTTGAGGTGGGGGAAGTGTATCCCAGGTAAGACCTCCAAGCGATCAGTATTATATCGAATCTCGGCTCTGGATCGGAAGGTATAGGTGGCGGGATAAAGGAGGTTCGTCGGTTGGCGAAAAATCGAGGCCGTTGTCCCGTAGTTCCTCGTGTTCGTGATGCTTGAAGAAAACAGTTTTTGTGACTCCTCAGCCAGTCATGCCTCCCGCTGAATTTTGGTATTTTGAGCAGGCTTTCTGAGGGATGGTGGGGTGTGGCGGTGTGGCGGGGTAGTGTGGCTCAAAATTGGTTTCGAATTTCTTCCAGCCCCAAGACCTCCTTTCGCCTGTGGAGAAAGTTGGATCCGCAGAGTCGTCAGTTTGGGTAATCTGATATCTTAGCTCTGAGTTTCGAACATCCGCAAACCCGCTCATGATGTTCACAGTTTTATATACGTCTAGTGCAAGGAATAGCGGGATGGCAAGAGGTATTTTGGTAAGACTGTGCCTAGACATTAAGGTAAACCCAAGTTCAGCTGATGAAACATCAAGGTGCCCCCAGAGCATACCTACCCATATTAACGGCCTTCTTCTAGAGAATGGTGCAAGCATCGTGATAGATTCATTATGAATATTTAACTATCGACAAAATTTGTCTGCTTAATTGCGAGATGTCTCATGAGAGCCGCACTGAACGCCAGGTTGAATAGAAATAGTCCAACCTATAAGGGGAAGGTGGGGCGTAGCTACAGAGCGGTGACGGAGTTTCTTCCGCCCGGGCGACAGTAAAGTTACTAGCTGTAACCACAGCATGTAAACAATCTCGCCAGTCGCATTGGTTTGGAGGAACCCTAGCTTCAGCACCACAATTCAGTATGGCACCTGGTATGTCCTCCACCCAACTCCCATTATTGTTCGCTCTAATCTAACGGTTTTGGTAGCTCTGCAGTTCGAAGATCTCGTCCCGCCTCCCGGCGACGCAGTAACTGCGCTCAAGTTTGCGCCAACTAGCTCTTCAAAACTTCTGGTCTCTTCCTGGGATACGAATGTTTACCTCTACGACATTGCCCAAACCGAGATAAACCAGTCACCTCTCATCACCAAGTTTAAGCACCAGGCGCCAGTTCTGGATGTTTGCTTTGGCGACGATGATAGTGTTGCCTACACTGCAAGCGCCGATCGGTGTGTTAATAGGTACGAGTGTTTCCGGGTGCGTGGAAGAGGATGCTTGGAGCTTGGAGCTAACTCACCGTGGAAAGAATTGATCTCGAAACCGGCCAAATCAGTGTCTTAAGCAAACATGGGGCCATAGCATGTGCTGTTGTGTACAGCGCAGCCCACGGTAAGTCTAACTAAGCTGAACAATTTTAACGAATATGGGCTCTGACGATAGCTAAAAGGTATTCTTGTGTCCGCCGCATGGGACAGCACCCTCCATATTCATAACATTCGAGACCCATCCAGCTCCCCCGTCCGGGTGGCTCTCCCTGGGAAGCCGCATGCGCTCGCTATCAGCCCAAGCAAGATGGTGGTTGCTATGACAGGCCGCATCATCAATATCTATGACCTGAACGCGATGCGAGATCTTCTCTCCGCCGGAGGTGGCGACCTGAAGCCATGGCAGCAGCGCGAGTCTTCCTTGCGGTATCTTACCCGCGCCGTCGCGTGTATGCCCAATGACGCTGGGTACGCCACCAGTAGTATTGAGGGTCGCGTTGCCGTCGAATGGTTCGAAGACACAGCCGAGTCCCAGGCTCGCAAATACGCCTTCAAGTGCCACAGACAACCGGCTCCTGATGGCGATGGAGACATTGTCTATCCAGTTAATGCGCTTGTTTTCAACCCTGTACATGGCACCTTTGCCTCAGGCGGAGGTGATAGCTCTATCGCGTTATGGGACGCAGAGGCCAAGAGGAGGTTGAGGCAGTATCTCAAGCTGCCAAACAACGTGGCGGCAATGGACTTTTCAAACGACGGCAAATACTTCGCTATTGCGACGTGTCCTGGGTTCGAGACGGGCCAAGAAGATTATTCAGGAGCTGGGCTAACCAATGTGCAATTCCGGATACTAGGCGACAATGAAGCCAAGGGGAAGTCATCAAAGTAAGAGTCAACATGGTGTTTGGTGTGACTTCGTTTGGGAATGGCGTTTTAGGTTGATATATGGTCGCAGGCTTTCTGTTGGTCACCGTTTTGGTTACCTACAAGGCATTGACGAAAAGTACCACAGTAATTGTTGCGTAGATATCCGCACAATATTCAAATGAAAGGCCGAACCATGCATTCGTTCTGTGAGATGTCCTTGAATGAGTTCATCAATTTTATGTGGGCATCGTATCTCATATTGCCTCCCTCCCATTGGATTCGGGCGTGTATTATCATTTCGTGCGATGAGGAATCGAAGGCAATATCTGGCCCAACCGGGCTCCCATAAAAATGGAACTTCATGCAACCCTTGCCAGAAAGTGGCTCAGTGATGGCGGAATATGGGAGATTGATTGAAGTTGTTCTATCTAGCAGTGACTTTGCAAATCTATTTCATTACTTTGCTTCCGGGCCATCGAACCCATCACAACCTCGAAGTTGTTGACTGCTATGGGGAACAATTGTTGGGTTTCGAGTTGGGAGCTTGTAGTCAATAATGCGGACGCCGTGTCGAAAAGTGAAAATGCCACACTTTTTGATGTCTCGAGGCGCATTAGGCGGTACGGGTTTGAGTCTCTTGGGTTGGGAACGGTTGGATGAGCTGTTTGAGCCTTTTACAAAATCAGAACTCGTAAGCCATTCCAAATAGCCGCTGGAGGCAGTGCTGTGTGGATTACCTTGACTGGAGTGGTTGAGGGCAAATTCTTCATCACTGATTCCTTCCAATGACCTCTTCCTACGCATAGTTTTATTTGTAGGTTTGATGGAGGCCAGCTTTTCCGAGGTATTACTGGGTAGCTTAATATTGAAGTGAGATTCATTCGGATGTGAGGATATCTTGTCCTTGCTTTCCTTTCTTGAAATTGAAACCTTTCCATGCTCGTCGAGACTAGGTCAGGTTTAGCGATTGGATAATGGCGAAAAGGACGGAAAGATATACACCCTCGTAGGATCCCCTCCAACTTCGCAATCGTAATTCATCTCGTTTTTCTGGGACGCGTGCTCTTGGGTTGAAACATTCGTCCTCGACGAAGGGTTGGGGCTTCGCAATTTTTCCTCGTCGTTCTCGAGGAGACTGACTCTTGCCGATGATCCGCAGCCGTGTGTTTGAAGGAGATCAAGATCTGGTAGATTCATTTTTGCCAAGTTGGGTCTAGAAGAATATGGAAGAGATGTGCATGGCGATATGGTAGGTCTGTCTTTGCTTTTGGTGGCCCCATGCTTGGAGATGGGCAGTATTTGGGAAGGAGCGGAGGCAGGAACTTCCTGCTTTGCAATGCGACGCCTTCCGGATTCCTCAGGCAGACACTCAGATGAGTGCTAATCAAAGCGCTACCTTGACCATTGGGCATAGGGTCTCGGGGTAGGTACGTGCTAATTGTAGGACTTAATGCGCCTTTATATCATGATAGGGGACGGCATGTACGCAACAGATGATTCCGGGGATGGAAATCATGAACCAAAAACGGCGGCATTGTTGGACCTTTGATTCGTATAACAGATGATTGTGTATACTAAAATACTACTAACACTGGAAATTCGGATGATAGGGAAGTTTCATTTGCTTGTGTTGATATTTGCCGTCGATCACTACATTCTGCCGCGAGGTTTTGAAAACCTTAGGTTTGGGGCTCTTCTGGCTGCGAAACCATGTCTATTATATTCGTCGGTTCTAGCCATTGGCGCGGTGATAGGCTATGAATAGGTTAGTTGGAAATTTGTATAGAAGAGTTCGCACCAAATGTATCTGACGTACTGCCGGTTCTGGAACGAAGTCGAATGTGCCCGCCATTTCCAAGAAGCTGACATTCTGGGGAGTCTCAGGGATGTCATTTTTCCAAAGTAAAGAATGGGGAAAGCCTAGATCAAAAGGGATTGCTGAATCAACCGCCTTGATATTTTCTGGATCAAGCTTAACGACGAGGGCTTGGATATATTCTTTCAGGTGATTGATCCCCCGTGCCGCGATCACTGGGAATACGTATGGCGCTTTGTGTATGATATATGACAGTGCGATGCACGTCAAGGTGGTGTCGAGCTGAATTGCAAGATCCTCCATTGTCTTACATATCTTCACTTCAGGATCGTTGAAGTTGGAATAAAGGCCATCTTCGTATCGTCGCTGTTCTGCCATTTTGGACTTCCCTTTCCCAAGCGCCCCCCAAGGCGTGATCCCCATACCTTCGCTCTTGCACATTGGAACAACATCGCGTTCCAAATCACGACAGGTCGCAGACCACAGACCCTGATAAACGGAAAATTGACGAAGGCCATGGTGCCTGGCGTACTCATTTGCCTTGCTAAAAGTTTGGTTAGGTGAGGATACCAAAAGAGCGAGCAGGAAGAAGGTTTTTGCCAAACCTTACGACCCAGGCAGGCGTGTTACTGGCACCTAGATATAGAACTTTCCCCATGGCAACGAGATGGTTGAGAGACTGCATCAGTTCCGCAATGGAGGTGCTGTAGTCCCACTAGTGTACGTAAAGCTGTCCTAAGGATGAGACCGAGAGAGAATCTTTTGCATGAAATCACTGGAAGGCCATACCACGTCAATGTAGCTCGTTTGAAGATTCTTCAAACTTGATTCAACCGACTGTATTAGGCTTTTGGTTCCGTTGCCTGCGTAATTGGCCATGATAGGAGGGTGTGCTGGCCCAGCCACAAAGTTGGTTGTGTACTTGGTCGCGATGACTGTACTCTCCATGTTAGTATTTTGTATCAAATGGGTACAATAACACGGATCAGGAGAAAACCAAACCCATTTGGCCACGAACACCTCGTTTTCTCATCCAGTCGCCGACCCATTGCTCCGATTCCTGAAATTGATAGTTGTTGGACGTATCAACGAAGTTCCCTACTGCGTCTCAGTATAGCAACGCAGCTTTGATGTAAGAAACAAGGCGCATACCACCCTTAGTTTCAAGTTAGAATCTATGGTATCCAGATTGGAGCTCCGCTTGAGTGCTTACCTGAGAGTAAAAGTAGTCAAGAAGAGCCTCGACTTCACGCTGGCTACGGTCTCCCATCTGGTCCTTCCTGTGAATAACCATATTAATCAATTAGCCTGTATGCGGCTCTAGGAGCAAAAATTCGACATGATTCTCACCATGCGTTCCCGAAGCTCATTGTGCTCAGACATAGAGGACTGACTTTTACGGCAGCATTCGGCGACAGCAAGCGATACCGGGCGAGCGGGCTAACGGGAGGAGGGGCTAAAGGTGTTGCGGACATCATTAAATCAACATGGGAAGATTCATGGCGAAATGTGGGAGATGGACAAGGAAAAGAAAGAAACCCCTTGGGATTCTCTACACGAAAGTATTAGTACGTGTCGACAATTCTGATTGAGACGGCAGTCACGATGGTGTTGCACGGGCACTCGGCTTAGGGCCAAGGTATATTGATGTATTGATGTCGGCACGTATTCTCGTTACAAATATCGTTGCAACTTGCCCAAATAATTCCTAGCAAAATCTGGGTATCATACCTATGTAGAAACTAATTCACTTGATTCTCGATCTACAGTGCTCAGCAATTGTCAAGGCTGTTGCCCTGAAAGATGCCAGCCATCATTGGTGGTTCGGTGAATCAGGCCATTAAAAAATGGAGAGGCCTATGATTGGGTGGATCCCTGCCCGCTCCAGCCCTTACATAATAAGCCTGGCTCCTACTTTGACTCGTCGCCCACGATTGTTGGTACTAGATAACCTCATTGACGACCGGCTTTTGGCACGACATATACATTTCCGACCTTCTTTACGCCCAATTGGACCCCTTTTTACATCTGCCCATCGGCTCTGGCGCTGGGATGATGGCCACTGACAATGGTCTCGTCTAAACCGGTCCCTTCTCGGGCCGCGCTTAATGCTCTTCGAGGCCTAGTTTTCACGACATCCTGCTCAGTATTTATTCTTGCCGAGGAACGCAGACAACGCATGCGGATTGCACGATCTGCCTTCGACAATGCACGAAAACTACACACTGTGAAGGCCCGCCATAGGCCCGCTCTCCTTGCTGATACAAGGCTATCGGACGAAGACTGCGAGGCTCTATTAATTGAGAGAATCAGCAAACCCGAACGACGGAAGCGTCGCCCACGGCTTCGTTCAAGATCCGATGACTCCGATGCCCATAACAAGGAGAAAAATTCAATGCAGGATTTGGAGATCAGGGGAAACAATCGAACCGACTTGCCTTCTCGCTCAGCTCGTTCTTCAACAAGTCCTCGAACCACAGTAGACTTGCCGATTATTGGACAAAAGCCTGGTGCACCTCCCATACGCTCAACTGTGTCTTCAAGAGACACGTTCAGTAGGCCTAAACTGGGCAAGCCAATATCTCCCGCTTCTCAAAGTTCCCGACCCAAGGTTGCACACGTGAATCATCATGCCAAACCACGCATACCGGCAGATTTTCAAGTGGGCATGGCTACCTTGACAGCAGTGGCTCCATTAAGCTCCAAATCTTATGAGCATCCACATGTGGGAGCCCCTTCCACCATGGATTCTTCATTGACCCAGGCAGTCACGGATTTCCTGGGCCGTGCATCTGGTGTTGACACCTCATTTGATTCCACGATATTGCCCATCTTGAACAAGCTCTTGGTCGAATTTGATCCTAGGGACTCGTCAGTTGCTGGCACAGCTTCAAGGCTAAACATGGCGCTGGAGATCTTCGAGAAACTTTCGAATGTTACTGCGACAGGCTTACATGCGGATGCCATGGAGGCCAATTCTGTTGCACTGATCAAAGTTGCGATTGTCCTTGGCCAACATGAACTTTTAGCATTAAATCGTACGCGTCGTTTTCACAAGGATGTCCACAGGGTCCTTGCTGTCGTCTTGGACTGGATGATGGAAGCAAACATTGCAGATCGTGTACCAAGTTTTCTTGGCGAGTTTTGTAACTCCGAGTGCTCCGTCGAACAATTGGATCCTAAAGCGATTTATCGTATCTTGGTCTGCCATTCGACTCTCTATCAAAAGCCGTCTCGGACCATTGAATTATACCATATGCTCCATTCGCCTAGGCTGCCTTCAAGTTCTCAATCCACGCTTGAGGGAGACTTTGAAACCCGTCAACTCATCAGTTATCTTCTCCAAGACGAGATGCAGCGCCGTGGCATATACCAAGCTGTCCATTCTCCTGCAGCATACCAAAGCGGCGCCCAAAGCGACGGTAGTGAGGCTAGCCGACGGCAGTTTCAGGACATTCTCGCCAACCTTGTGGACACGTGCTCCAGACGGCATGCGCCGGCCAACTTCGAGGCCATTGTGCGTTATCTGACCCAGATTCATGGCCTAGAGCTACAGGGTCGATGGGTTTACTCACTCCTTACGCGTTATTTCAGAAGCAATGGGCTTGACACGGTGTTTTCCTGGATCCAATTTTGTCTTCAGAATAACTTTCGGGTAGACGACGCTTATATTCTTAAATTCTACCAGAAATGTCACACCAATTGGGACATGCCCTGGGAGAAAGTCAAAAAGCTCGCTTCCTTGTTACGAAAAGCCAACCGCAATTACACTGTTGCTGACTGTAATAAAGCCATTTCCCCAAGTGCTGAGAAGGATGGCACTCCCTCAAGAAGGCAATCTGTGCCAGCACGCGAGGATTGGGAGCGTTTATACGTCCGAGTTGCTCGGGAATTGGTTCCAAGCCCTCTATCAAAGGAAGAGGCTGACGTTTTTGATTCTATGCAGCGCTATGCACGAGAGTGCGAGTGGCCACTCGTTTGGGAATCTTATGAGAAATTCCGTTCTACCAGTAGCCAGAAATTCTCCATACGATGTCTTCGACTTGCAGTTCTTGCTCGAGTCAGGCTGGATGGCGATACCACGGATAACGCAAGTAGACTTCTCTGGTCCTGTTCTCAAGGCCACGACGTGAGCGACGCAGCAACAGCAGTGCTAATGGCGAAACTTGCCAACGAAGAGCGTCCAATATCCATTATCCGCGACGCTCTTGATCGTGGCTTGCGTGTTCACGACATGGTCTATAACCTGGCTGCACGGAAGACCATCGCACTGGGGCACCTCGCAGACGCGTTGAGAATTTGCCAGATGGCAATCTCGCAGAATGGCTGTGGTGATTTCTTGTATCAAGAGTTCATATTCCTGAACCTTGTCTCAATCCACATCTTACAGCTGCATTATTCAGACTTGAAATTACTTTTGGCTGCTCTGATGGAGAAGAAGCCTAACTGGGTCGGCACGGAAGCTACCAAGCGCACTCTTAAGCTGAACATGAAGACAGTAGTGAAGCGGATTGCTATGGCTTCTGGATCTGCTTCTAGCCCACACCAGGAAGCCTTATCTTTCTTAGACATGGCTTTGCAATTCAATTCAGATTGCACTGAACGTTACGCCCCGTCAACTAGGAGCAACGCCCACATCAATTCAAACATGGGCAACGTTTTCCTATCGGCATCTGAAGTTGTCAGCTCGCGGCTGTCCAAGGAGATCAATAATGGCTCAGAATTATCGACGTTGCCAAAGGACGTTGGCGATGCTCAGCAGATCAGCGAGTCAAGAACAGGCGATACAATCACCTCCCACAAGTTGTCAAACCCCTTGGACAAAGAGGGCGCCATAACCGGTCAACCCCAGGAGACGATTCCACTGGGGCTGAATCAAAAGCCGGTTGATGAACTTCAAGAGAAGAGCAGTATTCCAGCGGAACAGAAGCCGCAAAAAAAGGCTGCGCCACGTCTCAACCCAAACTGGGATTACTTTTCTGAAATGGAGGGCACCGCCGTCCCTAGCAGAGATATATTCCCAAAGGAAAAGCCAAAAAATTCGTCTCCGAAGCAGAATGCGAAAGACGAGGATGTCCCCACGAAACTTAATGGCGAAAATGCGCGTGAGGTATCATCCGGCATTGCGAGCAGTGATTCAAGGAGCTTGTTGACAGGCGAGAAGAAGATGATGTACGAGTTTCTAAGTTTACAACCACGGGTCGTTCCCGGCTGGTCTCAATGTGAGGTAGGACACGAGTCTTGAAACACTGGACGGGAAACCATTCATTTCGCATGTATGCAACTTTCAGGAACATCTATATACCTAGCATACACGCCCTGGACGGGCACAATACATATTTACTGAATGTAGTTACTCATATTTTCACGTGTATCTTTCCACTAGGGTGTCGAAAATGGAAGGCTCATCGGCAATGACTTGGTGCTCATTGGCTCGATTTGGGATGTGCCGCGTGGGAGTTGGTGCGACTCACCACTCGGGCGTCCAAGTGTTTGGTGGGGGTGGCTGCTTATTAAGATCGTACGATTCAAGGTTGCGGTGCCAGAATCACATGCCCGCTGATCAGAGAGTCGGGCGGGCTGGCAGCCAATGGGCGTCCACGGTGGCGGGGCGGTGAGGGCCATAATGGCGCCACTTACCTTTCGCCTAGGTGTTAGCATCCCTGCAAGCCAAACTTTCTGTAGGGGTAGATTTCAGGGTCAATCTCGCAGAGCACAGAGAGACCAGGCTGCTCACGAACGACTTCGCCAACCCATATATTACCACTCTGCCGTCTGCTTGCCCTGACGCATCCCCACCCGGCCTGCTTCGAGAATAAGCGTGACCTCGACGGACCCGACAAGAGAACCAAGTCGGTGTCTTCGGGACCATTTCGCCCGCAAGCAATTGGATCGATCGCATGACAGACCCGATGATTTGCTGTCCCGCATGTTAGAACTTTTTGCCTTGCTCGAAATCTCAACAACTTGCCTCCCGGTACAGCCGAACGCTGGTTCTCGTCTGACCATCCGTCGTTGTTCACGTTTGCCAAGCAGAGCAGCCGAAGTCGCTAAGCTTGACCCTCCTCGCCCCTAATCGACGTCTGGAGACCACAACACCCCCCTTTTCCCGACCACTATGGCGACAGAATTTACCGCCGACTATCGCGCAGAGCGCCGCGAAAAATTCCACGAAGCTGAAGTTGTAATTGTTGGCGCTGGTGTCTTCGGCTGCGCAATTGCTTTTTCATTGGCAAACCAGGGACGTTCCGTCCTACTCCTTGAGAGATGGATGCACGAGCCTGATCGTATTGTTGGTGAGCTGATGCAGCCCGGCGGTATTGCAGCCCTCAAGAAATTGGGCTTGGGTCATTGCTTAGAGAACATCGACGCCATCCCCTGCTACGGATACTGTGTCAGCTACCACGGCCAACCGGTGCTCATTCCATACCCAACATTGGACGAAGATGGCCAGGTAGAACACCAATGGTCCGGT